GTGCCTTTTTTTTTTTTAAAGGCAACTGGGGTTAAGTGACTTGCCCAGGGTCACACAGCTAGTAAGTGTCAAGTGCTTGGTCTCAGGCCAGATTTGAACTCAGGTCCTCCTGCCTTCAGGGCCAGTGCTCTATCTACTGCACCACCTAGCTGCCTCTTTTACCAAGCTATTAATTCTCATTTTATAATTTCCTTGCATCACTCTCATTTCTTTTCCCAATTTTTCCTCTACCACTTCCAGGAATTCTTATTGGGTTTGGGTCCAAATAGCATTTTTTCTTTGAAAGTCTTCTTCTATAAAATGAACAATATGGTAATATTTTACATGATCACATATGTATAACTTGTATCAGCTTGATAAACTGATGCACCTCAGGGAGGGAAGGGAGGGAGGGACAGAAGTTGGAACTCAAAACTTAAAAAAAAAAAGCATTTTTCTTTGAGGCTTTGTTTATAGCTGTTTTCACATTGTTGCTGTCTTCTGAGTTTATGCATTGGCCCTCCCTGCTACCATAGTAGCCTTTTATGATCAAATTCGTCTTGTTTTTTGCTTGCTCATTTTCCCAGGCTATTTCTTGAGTTTGAACTTTATGTTAAAGTTGGGCTTTAACTATCCTAAGGTTCTGGGGGTCTGCAAGCTTTTGTTACTTTCAAGGTGGTGTGATCCTGGGAGAAGTACAGTTACTGCTTTCCTGGTCTGCACTGTGGTTTTTATCCGGGAAGGGTTCCTGGTCCCCTTCAGCCACAAGTGGCTAGTGCTCTCTTTGCCTTGGCATTGCGACCAACGTCCCTGGTTGCCTTAGGACAGAGCCCCCAGTGCTCCTATCTGCCCTGGAACTGAGATTCAGAAGTGTGTATGGTCAATAGAGTTGCTAATCAGTGCCAGCAAGGAGTCCTCTGTAATATCTTTCTCATCAGATGTCTGAACCCCTTCCTGTCTCTGGGCTGAGAGCTCCTGAAGCTGCCGCTGTTGTTGCCACCATATGCATGGACGCCAGACAGCCTTCTATCTTAGTGTCACAAACTTCTCCTGCTGACCTACTTAGGCTGGAAAAATGTCTCATCCTGATCTTTTGTTGACTCTGCCACTCTAATATGTGATTTGAGGCACTATTTTAAGGGAAATGTTGCAAAAGTTCAACTGGATTTCCTCTAATCCACCATCTTGGCTCCCCAAATACTCCACATACCACTTCTAATAATAATATCTGGCATTTATGTAGCTCTTTACATAAATATTATCTCATTTGATCCTCACAAAAACCCTGGGAAAGGTATTATTATCATCTGCATTTTACAGATGAGGAAACCAAGGCACAGAAAAGTTAAGTAACTTGCCCAGGGTCACACAGCTGGTAACTGAGGCAGGATTTGTAGTCAGGCCTTCCTGACTCCAGGCCCAGAGCTATATCCACTGTACCACCTAGCTGCCTTTCTATTTTCTATTATGTAAAAATTAATCATTAACTTAAAATTAAATCATTTTTTGAATGTTTCTAAGTTTATGTTTTTGACATTTTGTACCCCAAATTTAGAAATGATAAAAGCATTTTAGAACAATTCCATACAGTACAAATAGCTACAAATTGAAGAATCAAGTTCAGAATGACTTTCATTATACCATGCTCATAACTAGTCAACTATTATCCTATAAGAAGTATTTTGTTCCAAATGATTCAATACCTTGTTTATCTTATATAAACACTTGTAAAGGTACATGACCTCACATTTTTGGGGTAAAATTCATGAGGAAAGAGTTTAAAATAAAATCCTGATAGTAAATTAACACGGTAGAAATCCCGTTTTTACAAATGTCATTTGCTCCACTAACCTAAATACAGGAAAAAAAACTATAAAAGTCACATACTGATGTTTTTCACTTAAAAATAAAAAATGAATTAACTAATTTTGGACCTCAAGCATACCTGGATTTGCTAAGCTTTTAAATTTTGCTCAATTTTTTCCCTAAACTTCTTTAAATTGAACTGTGAATACTAAGTAATGTCCCACAAAAAGTTGTCCTTAGTAGTGACCTGCTAGGGAGCAACATTTTCTATACTGTGTAGCTGTTAGGAATGAATTGTTTTGCAGTAAGACAACTCATAAAGATAAATCGTATTTTGGAACAAAGATACAACTTGGGAAAAAAGCCTGAAGGTTTCATTTCACAATGGCAATTAAAATCAAAAAATGCTTTGTCCATTAGAGCTCTTTTCAAGACATATTAACTTGCTATACTTTAGGGATGCTAATCTGACTAATTTCAAAACAAAATACTGAAGGGAACAAAGACTATACTTAACTGAGGAGCTGTAGGCAAAAATTACATAGAACTTTGAAAATGTGTTTATAAATGCATACAACTTCTAGTTGAAAAAAAAAATCCATAAGGAGAAACCAGGAACATTTCTGATAGTTTTATCTTCTAAGACTCCTAGGCTTTATCATGGCAAATAGCTATTTTCAATTTACCTCACACATATGTAATTCTCATTTTTCCAAGGAGTTAAATATTCATCTACCTACCTTGCTTGGCTTCCAGCTCCTCCTGGGTAAGTTGAGGCTTTTTCTCCTCAACAACTACGCAGGGTGTGACAAGTGCTGGGTTAGGGTTTGCAGAACTACTAGAGCTCTCTTGGCCTTCCTTGCCTTCTTCATCATCATCATCACTGTCATCATCTAGCTTAACACGGTTTTTTTCCAGGGGAAGCAGATCATTTTCTTTGGCCTTGATAGCAAAGCTTATTGGAGCAAATGAAGCTACAAAGAAACGATGAAAATTTTAAATGTTTTGTTAAGATTCCAGCAAAAAGAGTTAAAAAATTTTCACTGGACTGATTATCTACTTCAAAAGAAAAAGTCTGTAGGAAGGTACATCACCAGTCTTATTTTTCTACCAGATAGTCACTACCTAATAACCTTTTTAGTAGAAGTATATCTATGCAAGCTTTTTGCAACAGAGCAATGAAGCTTCATGATAGCAAAAATTCTACCAAGAATTTCTAGAACTCGGGATAATTTATCAGTTTCTTTTTTTAATCATTCCCCAAGAATCCTTCTCTCATGTCTTTCCCTTCTCACCTTACCCTCTGTCCCACTACCCACTAGTACTTTGAAAAATGAACTCAGTAAAAAATTTGAAGTCCCACAGTTTAGTTCTAAGAAATGTTTTTCTACAATTTCTAGACTAATTATTTACATACTTAAACATACAAGTTTCAAGAGCTAAAAGTGGTTAGTCTTGATAAATATTATAACATAATTGGGGCAGCTAGGTGGTGCAGTGGACAGAGCACTGGCCCTGGAGTCAGGAGGACCTGAGTTCAAATCTTGCCTCAGACACATAACACTCTAGCTGTGTGATCCTGGACAAGTCACTGAACCCCAACTGCCTCACCAACAACAAAACAAAACAAAACAAAACATAATCCATTAAAAATGGCTGTTGCTATTTATGATGGGTTATTAAAAAAAAAATCCCCAAACACCAAGTCAGAGGATTATTATATAACCAACTGTAGTAAAGAGAAAATTTAAATAAGCTCCAAACACAGCCAACTTCAGAATGCGCTTATTTAAAATAATTTTCTTTCTTCAAAACCTAACTCAGATGTACCTCCTTTAAGAAATCTTGATCCCCATACAGAGAAATGACTCTTCTTACTTGGAATCTCTCCAAACACTGCTCAACCTCTCCTATAACTCTATTCATAGTATGGTTCATAAAACAGTTTCTTGGTTCGCTTCTCCTCCTCCCCCCAGTTAGATTATAAATATAATTATTTATAATATATTGTATATACTATATATTATTATATTTAATTTTATATATTTCAGATTATAAATAAAAATTATAAAAGCTGCTATCAGCATCTGTTTTATTGGTTGCTGAGGGCAAGAACTGCAGTTTTTTACTTTTGTGTCTTCAGTACCTAGTACACAGCATTGGCATCTGATGTCATTTACTATATATTTATTAAAATCAATCAAGTGATTTGTAGGATACAGTATTGTAGAACATTTTAACAACACAGCTCTTCGAAATATAGCACCAGTTCATTAAAGTGACAATGCTGAGCTATAGCATATACTCTGAAATAACAAAAGAAGCATTTTGAAGGCCAAGAATCATCACCTTACACACACAGAGATAAAAAAGAAAACACTAAAGAACAGTATTTATACAGACTACAATATTATCAAATTTATACAGATTATTCAGTTTATAGTATTTTAGACTAGTCATGGTATTTACATTAAAACTATATCTTCTGGGATCAATAATTTAAGAGACTAAATCTTTTGCAAGGTATAACATCTGACCTGAAATTAACCCTTTACTATTTGTAGTATTACATTCTCTTTAAACAATGCTGGTCTTTGAAAGCCCACAACATGGAAGCCTAAAAAACCTTCTCAATAATCAACAGTAAACATTCAGTATTAAAAGGAGGAAAACAATGTCCTCTGAAAATGTCAAGTTAAAGTGAGGAAGCAATTCTAAATCCAAGTCTTTTTTTCCTCAACTAGAATACTAGGAACCACAGTCAACACCAAAGACTTAGGCTCCCTAAGATGTAACCTGTTCTATCTTTTATCCATACTTATTACTCGCAGGTAGGGACTTGATAACAAGGCTAAAGAGTAGATTATCATTACTCTTCTGCAAAAGAAAGAGCACTGAAGAAAAATCAGAAAATCTCATTTTGTAGAGGCAGCAGTAGCAAATGGTGCCAAACTGGTCAACTGATTTGGGAATCAACACTTATTTATGGCAAACATCATATAAAGAAGTTATTGCATGCATTTTGCTTTGGCTCTTTCTGTTTTCTAATTCAATTATAAATTGTCCTTTCTTTTTGGATTTTATGTGTGAAAAGTATTTCAAAAATGTTCAAGAGCAAATTCTTTTACATAAAAACTACTTCTACTATTTATCTAAATGGTTACATTTCCCCTAGAGCCAAAATCACTCTCCTAGTGCTGTTCAGTTACTGTGACTGAGTTTGATACATCTATGTCTATATATATAATCTCACCAATAAAAGTCTGACATCTGAACAATATGGATAACTGACACAAAAATATAATGTAAGGCCATTCTACAATAGATAAGTGATCAAAGGATATGAATAACTGTCAAAAGACAAATTATAAACTATAAATGACCACGTGAAAATATGCTCAGAACCTCTAAAATTGTTGTTGTTGCTGTTCTACCACTACTACTAGCTATCATTAATAAATATGCTAATAATCATAATGATTTGTATAGAACATACTATGTGCCAGGCACTGTGGTAAGCACTTCGCACATATCATCTCATTTGATCTTCACAGCAACCTGTGAGGTAGGTGCAATTATTATACCCATTTTACAGATGAGGAAACTGAGGCAGACAGGTGAAGTGACTTGCTCAGGGTCACACAGCTAGTCAATGTTTAAGGCTGGATATGAACTCAGGTCATCCCGGCTCCAGGCCCAGCATTCCATCTGTTCTGCTACTTTCATCTCATACCATATAAACTGGCAAAAGTTACTAAAAATGGAAACAGTCAACAATGCAGCAGTGACAAGGATGCTAATACAGCACTGGTGGAACTGTGAACCAGTCCATCTACTTGGTACTTAAACTTGGAATTCTGCAAAAGAAATGACTCAATAGTTCATACCTATTGGCCCTGCAATTGTACTATTGGGTACACATATCCTTCCTCAGAAATCAAAGAGAGAAACGAGCTGTCCAATATGCACACCATAACAGTGAGGGTCACAGCTCCTCTCCCAGGCTGGCCTTGGTCTGCGTTCCCAGATCTCTTGCTGTTCCTTTGTAAGGACTTTGTAAGGTTGTGCTCCAACCAGACTGACTGACCTGCAGTGTTCCATCCCAACAGTCCGTCTCCCATTCCTGTCTGGTTGCAAAGGCTCTTCTTTCCCTATCACTGATACACTCTCTCTCGTCCTCTTTGACTCGAGCTCCCTTGAAGAAACCTTTCCTAATCCTGTTGCTATTAGTGACCCATATCCCAAAACCAAGTTGTAATGATATGCAGTATTTACTTGTCTTCCCGAGCACAGCTCAAATGCTACTTTTTCTAGTCATCCCGGTTGCATTTCCTAATCAATGAAATCCATTTGTGAATATCTTTTCTTTACAAAGATGTTGTATTTCTCCAGTAAAATTCATGTTTTGTTTTTTTTTTTAAAGTGTCTGTTTTGTTTTGATTTGGTAACCCCAGTGGCTAAAAGAATACTTTAGATGGAGGAGGCATTTAATAAATGCTTTATTTAATCTAATAAACAAAAGGGAACTTGTATACCAACATCTGTTGCAGAGAATGAAGGCAGAGTGGTGAAAATCACGTTGGGAAAGCTCGTTTAGAATTAAGAAATGAAAAAAACCAAAGACTTATAGACAACTTAAGATTCCTCTTGCCTGTACAGAACAGAGAACCCTTTATTCCAGAGAGTGCTTCCAGAGCTTGGCACAGTGCCTGGCACACAGTAGGAGCTTAATAAATGTTTATTGACTTTTTCTCAGAAGAGACTGCGAAGGTACTAGACATGGCAAGCACCAAATATCAACAAAAATGAAACTGACTTTATCCTGAAGAGATGGAAAAAGAAAGAATTCAACTACCCACATGGGAATTACTACTGAATTAGATGTTTGTGTACAGTGAGACTACTGATTAGTTATAATACAAATCAAAATCAACAGCAAGCTAGAATTAAAGACAAAAATGAGAAGACAACATCGTGAGAAATAATTATAACAGCTTTAACCTGACATCTTCAAACATGCGACTGACATTCTCTCTCCCTCATACTGGAAAAGAAATTGATGCTGTCACCACTGCTATAAAAATATAAACTGGTGTAAAGGAAAGCAGTTGACACAACAAGTAGGCCAAAAGAGACTAGAAACATCCTCTGGCATCCTGTTCTCTCTCTGTAGAAGAGAGAGACATATTAAGGTCAACACTAGTTTGGACTATACATACATTTTCAAAATGTTAGGAAGTTGGTGGAAGATTAGAAGAGCATCAGCTGATAAAACAGAAGTATGGTATAGGAGAAAATGCGTCTGCAGAAAGCTTGGCACAATACCTAAGTATACAAAAATCATATGAAAAGCATTTATAGATGAAATTGGGAAGTGAACAACAAAAAGGTTAAAAAAATTAACAAATTAAACACATCTACCAGTGATATAGTGATCTATTTTCATCACATAGGAAAGCTGAACATTTTGATTTTAACACCTCATTCCCTGATGTGTTATGTAAAGCCTAAATAGTACTTACGAATTTAGGAAGAGCAACTGGAACAGACCAATTATATATAGAAGAATTGGTGTTGGAAGGGACAAAATTTTGAAAGCATGGAGGGATCAACTTTCATGATACAAGATACTGCATGACTGGGGGAAAAAAGGCAGTATTATTACAGGAAAAGATGCAATGAAAGGATATCAGTAACCACTGGCCAATATGGCTATTTTCTCATTTTTATAGAATCTTTATTGTAATGCCTACATACATTTTACAAGGGTATACTTGATGAAAATATGAGAACAAGCAGGCTTTTCACAGGCTTTCTGATGTGATGATAAAAAAATCTAAGTAGTAAGTAAGTACATTTGTAGTCCCATAATTAAAATAAAGGTATAGAGAAAAAAGATCCCACTGTAATTCTTTATATCATTCCCCTTCCACAAGAGGTCTGCCATTCACTTCTGGAAGCAGAAATGCTGGAA